ATAGCACCTCAATCGAGTGCCAGACGCTGACCCCGCGACCCGAGGGCGCAGGCCGGTAGGCTTAGCAACCGTTAAGGAATGCAACACCTCTCCGAAAAACTGCCAGATACAAAATCAAATTTCTAACTCCCTCTAACCCCAAACCCCATCCTTACCCATTCCAACGTCATCCTAAATCCCCCTCTCCCATATCATCCGCCTTCCCCAGCCCCTAGGCTGTAAGCCTACATTCTATGCACATTATAATGCATGGGCTCATTATAATGGAGTGCGTATGTGCGCTCAATACTGCCGCGATAGCTCAGTGGTTAGAGTACTGGACTCCGACCCTCGTGGTCCCGGGTTCAATTCCCCGTCGCGGCAATTGTAAAAAATGCCTACGCTCTGACTGCTAACTCGAGCCCAAGAAAACGACATATCGGCTTGAGAAGTCAGACGCAGGTGTCGTAGGGGAAGTCACCGCCGTGGCACAAGTGTTAACGCGCCGAACCGCGGTTGATTAGGAAGGGCATTCAATCAGGCAAGGGTGACACCGCCATATAAAAATAAATAAATAAATAAATAAATAAATAAAATGGGGGCGCGGTGGTCCAGTGGTTAGAGCATTCAAAGGTTCGAGTCCCGGCCGGCGCGCTGTTCCCTTGGGCAAGGAACTTTACCTCGGCGGCCCCGAAGGAAGGCAACGGGAAACCACCTTCGTACGCTCCCTTGTACAACCATGAAATTAAAACATGGTCTCCAACGTCAGGCTCTGATACGGCACTAAAAAAAAAAAAAAAAAAAAAAATGTGCGCTCATGCAGACACTGTTCAAACGTTTGTGCATATACATGGTAGTGCGCTGATGTATGCAAAATTGCGTGTACGTATCCATGTGTCTGTGCATGAAAGAGAATCAATATATACGTAGTTATGTGTATATGTGCGTATACGCGTATACATTCATATGGGTGTATGTATATTAATGCATATGTATGTGCGAGTATGTGCATGTGTATGAACATATATGTTTCTGTGGAGGTGCGTATATATATGCATAAGTATAAGTGTTTGTGTAGGTATATGGGTATATGTATGTATGTATATATGTATAGGCAGTTACTTGTGTATGTACATATGTGTGATGTATGTGGATATATGCATGTGTATGTATGTGGCTATATGTATGTGTATATGTATATATGTGTATATATGTGTGTATATATATGTATATGTGTGCATATGTATGTATATGTATGAGTGTATATATATATACATATGTGTATGTGTGTATGAACGTATGTATGTGTGTGTGCATGTATGTATATATGTGTATGGATATTCATAGTCATAAGCATGTATTCAAGGTATGTGCCTATGAATGCGTGTGCATAAGCGTGGGTGATTACTTACATATGTAAGCGCATATGAAGTGCGCGTATGTTTATATATGTGTATGCATGCGCGTAGTGGTGCATAATGATATGCTCCCTTGCATATCATATGTATAGGAGCAATGTAAAGGCGTACGCTTTCATGTGATTATGCACGAAAATGACCATATGCGTAGTACTTAGGCATTTGCGGGTGAACAACTATGTCTGCACTAAGCACACATACGCATAAATAAAATCAGTGTATAAAATATGACCACACTTATACGCACTTCTGATACTCAAGCCCATGCTCACGGAAGTATACCCTGGTGTAATGAGCAGGTCCGTGTGTTGCTAGAGGGGCTTATCAGTGGTATCCCGGCTAAAATACTCCCCCTCCTAGGCCAGTAAGTGAGAGGTAACTTGGTTGTCTACCTCACAATCAACAGCCATGACTGCACAAACAGAGCAACGGCTCTCATTCCCCGGAAGCGAAGGAGCCCCTGGTTTCGGCGGCGATCAGGATCAGGATATTAATAAAGTAAATATTGGCAACGGCCATAGGTTGGTCAGAGGCCAAATTAAATTACATCTCAGAAGGGAAAGGAATAAACTCATACGAAAACCGCAGCCAAACTTAGCTAAATTGAAGACCAAAGCGACAGAATTTAGCATTAACATCCAAAACAGATATTCACTTCTCAGTGGCGAGGATCTCAACATTGATCAGATCAACAAACAGTTCAATGACAATTGGCATTTGACTCTGTACAAATACCAGCAGTACTAGAAGCTATTCGAAGACAGGGAGTAGAGGAGATATATTGTAAAATATTAGAAGATATATACGAAGATGAGACAGCAACCATCAAGCTCCACACAGAAACCGATGAAATCCCTATTAAGAAAGGTGTTAGACAGGGCGATACCATCTCACCAAAATTGTTTACAGCTTGCCTTGAAGAAATATTCAAGAATGGACCGGAAAGGGTATCAAAATTGGGGCCGAATACCTAAACAATCTAAGATTTGCAGATGATATTGTTCTCTTCAGTGAATCCGCAAATGAAATGCAGCAGCTAATAAATGATTTGAGTAGAGAGAGCCTGAAAGTCGGACTTAGGATGAACAAGAAAAAGACTAAGA